CCCATCTCACTCCAAGCCCAGCCCTAAGAATCAGGTCAAAACCAGACCCCAAAATCTTAGGACAACGTGGTAGGCACATGAACAAGGCCCTGAGAACATCTGCCTAGGAACCTGCTTCCCACGGCCTCTTAGCAGAATCTGGCAGGAGCCAAGATGGCAGACATCCAGACAGACTGATGTCGCCCATGTCAAGTAGACAGGCTGATGAGACACAGAAGTGAATCCAGGCTCAGCCAGAACCCAAGGGACCACCAGAGTCCACCAGGAGCTTAAAGGAACCTTCTAGGTTGGGTCTTTTCCTACCACAAGATGGCGCTTTGGAACTCCACATACTCTTGAGAATGCTTTGTTCAATTAGTTTTGTTTGGAGACAAGATCTCAGCAAGTTTCTCAGGTTTGGACCCAAGTGACCCTCCTGCCTCCAAGGGCTTTCAGTATGAACCCGGTTTTTCATAAATATCAATCCAAATATTATAATTATCTTTAGAACAAAAAAATAATGAGAACAAAAAATTTAAATATGATAGACTCTACTTCCTCTCTTTGAGACAGGGTATCACTATGTTGTCTTGGCTGGGCCTGGAACTCACCACGTAGACAAGGATAGCCTCAAACTCGTAGAGATCCACCAACTTCTGCCTCCTGAGTGCTAGAACTAAAGGAGTATGCTATCACCCAAACCCTAAAGTACGGCAACCCTTAAAGCTACTCTTTTTCCCTTTATTTTTTGTTTCTGGGTTCTGAGTTCTTGTTTGTTTCTCTTTTTTCATTTTTTCAGGTTTTTGTTTAGGTGATTTTTGGCTGTTTTTGTCTTGTTTTGCAGCACTGGGAAAGAGTTCGGACCCTGAACATGCTAGACACACTACCACTGTTCCTTCAACAGCCCAAGGGGAAGTTCTGTGACTTTGTGTCTTCAACCTCAGGCAGCAGCTACTGCTTCAAGCCTGTGTTGGCATAGTAGTTAGTATTAGGCAGTTTAGAAGAGAGCTCCAGACACTGGGAGTTGCATCCATGATGGGTTGTACCCTTGAACTGAGTCAGAAAAAAAAAAGCAGCTTTTATCAGGGCATGTATCACAACAGAAAAAGAAAAGGAGGAAATAATGAATCTAGAAATGTTTCCAGCTAGAAGTGTGTCAAAGGTTTTGTTAAGTTTTGAAGATGAGTTCTGCAAATCCCCTTGAGTGAAAATGATCAAATAAGAAGAGCTTGTCTACAGTGTGCTGCAGGGACATGCAGGTCAAAGGTCAGTCAGCTGAGCACCAGTTTCCATTTGGCTGGTTCCGGCCAGATAACTTTTCCAGTTTCTTTTGTTTGATACCAATAGGCCCAAGATTTAAAGAAGAAGAAAAGCACCTGTGGAGAGAGGAGGTCCCCACACCCACACAGTGACAGAGGGTTTGAATCACCAAGCAGATAGCACAATTATAAACAGGTCGATACCTAACAAGACAGAACTGCAAGGAGAAGAGTCGGTCGAATGGGGGTATTTAAGAGGAGGAGGAAGGGGCGAAGGATCACAAGCTAAGCACGGTTTTCCATCCCTAGCTGAACCCTGTGACTTGTTCTAGCAGGAAAGATAACGGGGAGGCAGCCCGAGACTGTGGTCTGTTCATTGGTTACTAACCTCAGTGCTGTGAGATGCCGGCAAAGCAGTTTAGGGAGGTAGGTCCTTTTTTTGGCTTCCAGTTCCAGAGGATGCCGTCCACCATGACGGGGAGTTATGACCACAGGAGCATGGTCACATGCACCCGCAGCCAGAAAGCAGAGAGAGATGGATGCTAGTGCTCAGCTCACTGTCTCCTTTTTATCCACTTCCAGACTCAGTCCCACAGAACAGGGCTGCCTACGTTTAGAGGTGGCCTTCTCACCTCAGTTATCCTGACCTAGAAGACCCTTCACAGAGGAAGCCAGCGGTTTGTTTCCACAGCGACTCTGAATCCCATCAAGTTGGTAATCAAGATAAACCAACGCAGACTAGGTTTGCCCTCTGTTTGCACAGGCCTGCCCATAAGGAAGCCAAGTGTCTGGGCTAGCCCATCAAGCAAGAAGTAAAACTAAAGACATATAGAACAGAGGAAGGAAGGCCACTTGTCCGGTGCTCATCCTAGACTGGCACCCTGAAGAGGAAAATAATGGCTCCCATTCACAATAAGCAAATGTGGGGCCCTTATTGTGTCTGCTGATATACTTCTTGACTCCAGAAACCTTACTCAATGAATCTGGGATGTGTTTCAAGAAGGGTATTGGGTAATGGGAACCAAGCTTTTTGCTTGTTTGTTTTGGTTTTGGTTTTGAGACAGGGTTTCTCTCTGTAGCCTTGGCTGTCCTGGAACTAGCTCTGTAGACCAGGCTGGCCTTGAACTCACAGAGATCCACCTGCCTCTGCCTCCTGAGTTCTGGGATTAAAAGCATGCACCCCTACTGCCGGTGGGAGCCAAGCCTTAACTTGTGCAAAATTGTTCAGCTAAGGGAAAGGGGAAGAGGAGAAAGGGAGGAATGGAAAAACAGAGGGGAGAGGAGGGAGAGGGGGAAGGGAGGGAGAGGGGAGAGGACGCTGGGGGGGGGAGAATATGAATATGACCTACTTCTTAGAGCCCCCGAGTGTGCTGAGTGAGCCACACAATCACTTTCAAGCCTAGCCAATAGCTGGGCCCCCCTGAATTTTCTGTTCTTTTTCTGACATCTGCCTCAGTTGGTGCCAGCCACTCTATCATGGGAGGGGACTTGGTGGAGAAGAAGCCAGTAGTGTCCTGCCTGCAGAAGTTCAGGAAAGCTGTGCTTTAGCACCTACCCGCTTGTGGGGGGAAGGCCAGTGAAATAACGAATCTGCAGGGGACAACCTGGGGCACATCGGGGTCAAAGGTGCAGGGAGGCCCCTCCGAGGATCGCAGGCTGCTGAACTGGTCATCTGAGTCCCACTCCTGGGCTGGGGTTCTGGATTTCGGGTACTCCTCTGTCTCATACTCGCTTGTTGACTGGTAAGCACTAGCCGCGGAGGAGGCAGGTCCCATGCTTACTCGTTCCTCTTCCTCCCATTCCCAGGCCTGCAGGGACATGTTGCAGCACCAGAACAGTCCTGGTGGGAGACAGAGAAGGCCCCAGGAGTAAACCTGCCCGGTGCAGGAAGGTCCACCCTGTCGGTTCCTTCTCTGTCTCATTTCCAATACCCAGGCTTCAGTGGAGGTTTGCTGCACAGTGAGCGCTCCACAATTGGGGAGAAGGAATGGGTGAAGGAACCAGAGAGTGGCAGCTGGCACTGGCGATGTTTCTCCGACCTCAGTCCAGCTACTCCTCTCTCAGAAATCAGGAGTGGACCAGTGATTGCTCTTGGCATAGGACCCAGGTGAATCTAATTCACTGCCGACCCAGGAGGCACGGGAAGATGGGAGATCTGACTCCTCTCAAGAGGCTGTGGCAAGGTCCTGGATGTGGCCCCAGAGCAGAACAGGCCTCAGGCCACTTGCAGATAGGGGAACTGAGCCGGCCCAGTACACACTGGACCCTAGCAAGATGCCCTGGGGGGAGACACAAAGAGCTCTGGCTGGGACATCACTCAGGTTTCAAGCCACAGAACCCGCTCACAGGAAGTCAGTGCCTGGGGGATCGGGGACGACTGAGGTGAAATAGAGGCTGAACCCAAGTTCAAGGGTTACCTGTGAGTAGGGCTCTTGCACGGGCTGCACAGTTGCAGCCTCTCTAATCAGGGAAGCTGGGCACTGGCGCTTAAGGGTAGCAGATCCTAAAGGAACTTTGTTAGGCGGTTGCCAGGAGACCTCAGCCCACGGCTGGGGGCGGGGCTTCCTTCGCCCAGCGGAGTTCGGCTCCTGCCCCCAGGCTCTGGGGATCTTCTTGAAGGTATTCATTCCCGGAGGAGTGTGAGCTTTTCAACCAGGAACTCCCTACGGGGGCAAGAGGGCGAGGAGGGGCTTCTCTTGACACTTGTGAGGCCTTGGTGCACCACCCAGTCAAAAAGGTGAAAGGCAGATTCAGAAAGCTATTGCCTTCTCCCATTAGTTCATTTACCCAACACTTTAAAAAAAAAAAAAAACTCTCGCTCTGAGCTCCACCCACTCTCATCTTCCACGTTTAAATAAAGCTAAAAGAAGTGATGGTCTGTCTCTACACACTCAGACCCCAAAACGCTCTCGTTAGATTTTCTGCTTCTGGGACTGGTATCGTGAAAATTCTGTTCCCCTGAGATGAGGGTAGACTTACAAGGGTGAAGCATTCTACCCACCGCAAATGCATCACAGCACTGGCCCGAAATCTAGACTCCTGGCCACCAAAGCCTGCACTCCTCTACAAAGCCCACCCATACCGAAGCACCCTGGCTAAGCACCCCAACAGCTGCCCCTGACCGGGAAGACCCCGGCACACCAAGTGGCCTGAGCCAGAGAGGAACAACCCACAGTGGGAGGGCCAGATGGAACAGGGATGAACTTCAAGAGGAAACCAAAGCTAATGTAATGTTGGGTAATGTTTGAAGTTGAAAGAGCAGAATTTCAACCGAGCTGGAGCTGGAACCAAGTCCCAAGCCTCCCAGAACATACTTTTCTAGGTCATCAGATGAGATGGTACATTCCAGAACTTGGCATACTGAATGGAACTCTCGGGTTAAATCAAGACAAAACCTAAACCTGGAGGACAATTGTCAGGGGTCCACACTGAAGGGAAGCAAGCCCCTTTTAAGAAAGCCTATTCACCTTGCCCATACCTCCAGCATCCTGGAGATTGTACTCTGTGACCTAAGACATGCTGAAAATACACACGGGCTGAAAGACCAAAAAGTTACTGAGGTAGAGCAGCTCCTGAAGCCATCACACAGCAAGAGCAGCTCAACAGCACCACCCCCAGGGAGCAGACATGGGATCCTGGCTCCCGGGTTCCACCTGTCACCTTTCGTATTTAATTTAAACAGCGATTTTTTTAATTATTATTAAGTGCATGTCCAGTTAGGGTTTCTATTGCTGTGACAAAACATCATAACCAAAAAGCAAATTGTGGCGGAAAGAGTTTATTTGGCTTACACAGAATTGTTGTTTATCCTTGAAGTAAGTCTGGACAGGAACTCAAACAAGGCACAATCTTGGAGACAGGCACCAGGAGCTAATACAGAGGTCTTGGAGGGGGGCTGCTTACTGGCCCACCAGCCCAGGGATGGCACCACCCACCATGGGCTGGACCCTCCCCCATTGATCGCTAATTGAGAAAATGCTTTATAGCTGGGTCTCATGGAGGCATTCCCTCAACTGAGCCTCCTTCCTCTCTGATGACTCTGTGTCAGGTTGACACGAGAAGCCAGTCAGGGCAGTACACAAATGAATTTTACACTACTTGTGCAGAGGCCTGCAGCACTCATATGTCCAAGAGCCCATATGTCCTTAAAACAATGAGCCAATTGGAAAATTCAGCTCTGATTCAGAATTAAGCATCCTTATCCTTTCTTTTCATCTCAAGATACTTGGGAATAGCAACTAGTTGCCTAATTAAATAGTAGGGAGCCTGAAGAAAAGCAGGAACAAGTCTCACCACAAATCCTACTTTAAGTCTGGCCTTCTTCCTTCACATCATCAGACATCAGCTCCTGGCAAGTGGGGGTATCTCAGTGGTAAGGCACAGCCAAACTGAGCAGGTCCTTCCCAGGAAGTTAAGTGTGTGTGTGTGTGTGTGTGTGTGTGTGTGTGTGTGTGCGCGCGCGCACGCACACACGCGCACAAGAGAGAGAGTGGGGGAAAGTAAGATCATATGGTCATGGTGGTCTGGCAACAGAGTTCAAAGTGTCTTGGATCACATTACCTAGGAGAGCGGCCATACTCCGCAGGCTCAGGGTAAGAGGCCATAGGTCTAGGCCAAAGGGCCAAAGCCCATCCTAAATGCACATCAGTGTTACTCAGAATGCATCAAAAATATGATTATTCTGGGCTGGGTGGCACAGGCCTGTCATCCCAGCTACTCAAGAGACTGAGCCAAGAGAATTGTGAGTTCAAGGCTACCTTGGGCCACAATATGTATTCAAGACCAGCCTGGGCAGTTTAGGGAGACCATGTCTCAAAAAAAAAAATTAAAAAGAAGATGTAGCTCAAGGTGATGAGCTTGCCGAGAATATGCCAGGCTCTGGTTAAATTCCCAGCATAATAGTAATGCTAGCAACAACATGTTAATGTTCTGCGGTTTCACTCCAGGCCTTCAGGGATAATTCTCCAGGAACAGAGCTTAAGGACCAGTGGCATTGTGTTTTCTGAAGATATGCCATCGTTCAGACATCCTCTCACGCACTCGTCTTCCTTTGTACGGTCCATACTCCCTGCATCCAGTGGTCAGACACACGTGTGACCCACTTCAGCCAATAAAGTTCATAGGAAGTCATACCATGTGACTTCTGAAATCAGCTCCTACAAACCTGTTGCTGTCTTGTCTGGGGCCTCATCTGCAAATATAGCCTCCGTATTGTCAGCAAGTATAGATGGCCACACAAGGATTGCACTGAGCTGTCCTGTCAGGTCCCACCCAACTGCCATTGTCAGCCCCCAGGCCTATAAGCATACTGGTTGCCACTACATAGAGCAGAAACAGTTTCCCCCAAGCTCTCCCTCCCTACATCGTAGATTCATGAGCAAATTGCTGTCCTCTTAATTTACAAAATGCTAACTTTACCCTTTCAAAGTGTCCTGACAGATGTGTCGTGAGCCCCACTACAAAGCAGTTCTATCAACCCCCAAAAATTCTTTTGTGCCACAATACAAGGACTGGTCTAGAATAAATACATCACAAATACACTGTGGTGGCAGGATTTTGGGTGATTTTTGTGTCTGTATGTATTTCTAGACTTTGCAATGACACTTTGAACAGTACACTATTGGAAGCAGCTCAAACAATACTGAAGTGACTTCAAAAGTAGCGTCTTTGCCTGGACTTCAACTCTCCCCCACAAGCATCCCACCCCCCAGCACATACAAAGGAACCACAGACCTTCTGAGTTTACACGCTTTGAACCTCCAACAAAAGCCTTCTGGATCCAAGTGGGATTGTTTCAGGGGTGCCTAGTAACACAGCCCACAGATAGACAAGGCCTAACAGCACGCCATTATAATAAATCCCCCCCCAAGCCACAGGAGGCTGGGCAGCAGCTCTATGGGAAGAAACTGAAAAGCTTTGTTTTCAATACTGACTTACCCAGGCAAACTACAGTTTGAAGGAGTCCTTTAGCAAAGCAGTTACCAGCTCAGGACTGGGAATGGTGTATGTGGTATCTTAGGCTGAGCTATCAGCCTTCAAAACAGACATGAAATAAAACCAGGCTCATCTGCAAATATAGGACTCCAACACATCCCAGACACTTGCTTTAATGCCCACATTAAGCTCCAGGGCCAGGTCTTCATGGTCCAGCAGGAAATACCTTCCACTACCAACATCTGGAACCACAGGGGCTCCAACATCACTGGGCTAGAAGACATTCAAAGCCCACTGATGCCTGCTAGAGGTAGTTTCCCTTTTGAAGCTGGGAGATGAGACTCAAAGATGATGTGATATAAGGATTGCTTTAAAACTCAGACACCGATAAAAGACAAAACATCTGTGAACAGCAACAAAACAAAGCAGAGGAAAAGCAACACGGCACGATGCCATTTGCTGTGGTAACCATGGGAAGGCAGCTGCAACAGGAGTCATAAGTCTGTCTCTCCCAGTGTGCTAACACTATTCCAGTGAGCAGATCAGGCAGCTCTCCTCCCCCCACGGTCTGTTGTTTCATGCAGGAGGCAGATGATCTGCTGAGGAAGATACAGGGCCTGGGTAAGGGAAGTCTTATGGTTCAGATCTGCAAGGTCTGCCAAAGGTCTGTGTGTGAAAACCTTGGTCCCTAGGGTGCTGCTATCTGAAGGTGGTAAAAAGTTCAAGAGAGGGGCTGGAAAGATGGTTCAGTAGTTAAGAGCACTGGCTGCTCTTCCAATGGTCCTGAGTTCGTTTCCCAGCAACCACATGGTGCCTCAAAATCATCCATAATGAGATCTGATGCCCTCTCCTGGCCCACATATTAAATAAATAAATCCTATAAAAGAAAAAAAAAAGTTCAAGAGATGAGGCCCAGTAGCATGCCCCTTGGGTTCTATCCTTGAGGAGGACAGTCTCATGTCCCATCCTCTCCTTTTTCTTTCCCTCCATGAGAAGTGTATGGCATTTTAACTCCACCATGCATGCATGCATGCATGCTACCACAGCCCCAAAGCAAACTGTAAGCCAAAGTGAGCCTCTCGAATCACCTCGGGTACCTGTTACAGTGATGGGGAGCTGGCTGGCACTGGACTGAAGAAAGGGTTGGCGCCAGGAACTGCGACAGAGCGTGTACAGGCTGATGTTCTCTGCATCGCTCAGCACACTGTAAGTCACATGGTGTGCCGTTGGTGTCAGTGAAAACAGGGAGACCTCTTTGGAAAAGAGATGGGCCATTCCACAAGAAGATCTCAAACTGTCACAGGACCCAGCGGTCCTGGCTTGCTGTCTAATGCTATGATACATAGTAAGACCAAAAGCAACTTGGGGAAGAAAGGGTTCTTTGACTTACAGATGACACTACGCTTCTGAGGGAGGCCAAGGCAGGAACGGAAGCAGAGGCCACGGAGAAACAGTGATCACCGGCTTGCTCTACATGGATTGTTCAGGCCACTTTCTTAAACAGCACAACACCACCTGCCCAGGGTGGTACCAGAAACAGTGGGCTGCGCCCTCCCATGTCAATCATTAATCAAGAGGCATGCCCCCACAGACTTGCCCACAGTCCAATCTGATGGAGGCAATTCCTCAGTCAATGGTCCCCCTTCCTAGATGATCCCAGCTTTGTCAAGTTGACAAAAAAGAAACCAGCACAGCAAACAACCCATTCGTTAGTATATGCCCCAAAGAGAGTAAATTACATGAATTCATACCAAAAAAAATATCCATAGCAGGATCACTCACAACAGTAAAACCCCAGCACCTATTAGTTAATGAATGAATAATCAAATGTGGTCTACCCACTCAATGGAGTACCATTCAGAACTAAAAGAGAATTAGAGTGCCAGCAGATGGGGGGTGGAAATGTTGACGTATTAGCTGTAGTTGTGGTTAGACAACTATAACATACTAAACACTGTTGATGTGTATGCCTTAAAATGCAATCCCCCATTTAAGCAAAAGAGCCAGTATACCGAAAGCAAAAGATTCGCAGTCACCAGAAAGAGCCACTAGATCTGTTTATAGCTGCACTAACCTCCTACACAGTTCCCTGTGTGCATCTTTGCAGAAAACATCTAGTAGTATTTCGTGTAGTGTTGTTATAGTCACATATGTATTAACATTCACAAAAACTGCTGCAGGGTGTTTGCTCATTCACCTTCTTTGACGATCTGTCCTGACTGGGCCACTGATGAACATCAGCTCCTAGCCGTTAATAACAGACATGGCTGCACGTGCGGTTTTCTAAGATAGAAGCAAGAAATGGAACTGCTGTAAACTATTCTGCCACTACTTTTATAATAATAATAATAAAAAACACATTATCCCAAACCTTTCCGGTTTGAGGTGATTGGACAACATGTTTAAGAATGGGTAGAACAAAGGACAAAGTGCTGGTCTAGAGGCTATAATGGAGGAAACAAAAACGATGTTTTGCAACTGGAACTTAACATTTAAAATCAGAGACGTACACAAGACAACATCTGCCTTTCTAACAGCCAGGGGCCGCTGAATTGACTTTTGCTCCAATATGGCTGGGTAAAGGTTCCCATGGCAGGCAAGTGAAGCCAACACCACAGCTCTCTGTGAAAGAGAAAGGAAAAGCCGATTAGCACTCAAGAGGAAGCAGCCTGTCGTCCGTCTCTCAGAGAAAATGGTAGCCAAACAACCCTTTGCCTCATCCCAGCCCGCGAGAAGTCACCTCCTGGAACCTGAAGATGGCGGTGGTAGACCACCACTTTCCTCTCACCAAAACCGTTACTTGGTCTACTTCCAAGTCTGTTTCCTCCTCTGTCCTAGTTAGATGGGGGAGGGGGAGTTTAGAAAACAGTCTGGAGACGAGGCCTCTCCACCCCCAGGAGCAAAGGACGCCAGGCAGGTTGCCGGGACAAGGACTGGGAAGTCCGGGAGAGCACCATGACTGAGGATCCAAGCAGGAGTCGAAAAGGCCTGGGAGAGCAACAGAACTGATCCAAGGACTCCTTACAGTGATGGGGATGCGAATGGGGAATGATGGGGAGCGCAGGTCAAGGTCATTACAGCCCCAGAGAGCACGCTGCTCCAGCGCCCCCAACCGGGACAAACACAGATGCCCTGCACGGCCCACGCAGCTGTCTGGACAGGGTCCCGCGCCTCTCCGGCTTGGCGGTGGCCGCCCTGCCCCTCCCTCCGCGGACGCGGGCGGCTGCCTAAAGGCGCCTCTGGGCCGAGAGGGATCGCCTGGGTCTGGGCATGGAGGGCGAAGCGGGCGACCCGTACCGGCGACCCGCGCGGCGCACACAGTGGCTGCTGAGCGCCTTGGCTCACCACTATGGGCTAGACCGCGGCGTGGAGAACGAGATCGTGGTGCTGGCTACCGGTCTGGACCAGTATCTGCAGGAGGTCTTCCACCATCTGGACTGCCGGGGCGCCGGCCGCTTGCCGCGCGCCGACTTTCGCGCACTATGTGCGGTACTGGGGCTGAACGCCGACGGGGAGGCGACCACCGAGGACGCAAATTCCGCGGAGGCAGCCGCTAAGAACCAGGCTGCTGGAATAGTCGCTGGCGGGGACGCGGACGCCAGGGAAGAGGCGCGCCTGGCTCTGCGCGCCGACCCTCCCGAACTCACTTTCCGCCAGTTCCACGCACGCCTCTGCGGCTACTTCAGTACCCGAGCGGGGCCCCGGCTGCCCCGAGGAGCTCTCAGCGAGCACATCGAGACGCAGATCCGCCTCCGCCGCCCGCGCCGCCGCCGCCGCCGGCCTGACTCGCCGAGCCTGCACGGAGGCGCCAATGGAGAGCGTGTGGCACATCTGGAGGAGGAAAACAGCAGCCTACGCGAGCTGGTGGAGGACCTGCGTGCCGCGCTGCAGAGCAGTGACGCGCGCTGCCTGGCCCTGCAGGTGCGCGGGACGCCAAGGGATGGGGCACCCCACCTTGGCCTTCCCCCTCCTCAGCTGGCCCTCTCCGTTTCCCACGCCACTCCCTTCATTCCAGCTTGCACCCCAATTTATCATTCCTTAAAACTCCAGCTTCACACCCCTGTGCCTTCTAACCCTAGACGGAGCCTGTCTAGGCAGCCTCGTAATAACGGGCCAGCAAGCATTCTTCTTCAGGGAGGTTTAGGGAAAATCGAGAAGGGCACCTCCCTTCCCCAAGTCAGTGACACCAATGGAATCCCTCGGGGCCAGGCCTTGGGCACAAGTAAAGGATGGCTAGCATTGGGGGCCAGGCCCACTCTGAGCTACTGAGGTGGAGCCACTGAGCGAACTGCAGACTTAGTCTGGCATCTGGGATCAGTCAACCAACACTTGAGCCCTGTGCACAGCTCGGTGTTGAGTGCAGCGCAGGTGGCCGCCCAAAGGGAGAAAAGGTCCCTAATGGGAAGAGGACCTAAAAAAAAAAAAAAACCTGATGTTGCATTGGTGCCTCCTGCGCCCTAGATGCTACATACTACAAGCAGGTGACAAGGTGGTCCCCATGGTTCACGTGTGGCATGGAAGTGTTAGATGGGGCAGAGGGACCCTCGAAGTGGGTAAAGTCATGTGTGGGGTGCCTGAGACTGGCTAAAAGGGTCTGCCCATCTTTCTTTCACTGTGCCAGCTTCCTCTAAGCTTTGGAACACTGCAGTAAACGAAACGGACCACCCCACCCCCATTTCCAAGGATGGGCCTAGTGCACAGATCTCAGGAAGGGCGGAAACATCAGTCTGGTGTTTAAGCTGTGCCTTGGGTTCAGAGAATTAGGAGCTGCATATATTGGATGCAGGTCTTAGGCTGAGAAGTCACGACTTTGGGGCATCACTGTCACCACACAAAGAACAGACTGTGGACTTCCTGTATCAGCTTTGTGGGCGGGGTGGGAGTAATGCACACTTGCATTACTTGCTCGTGCCCCCTGCTCAGTGAGCAAGCTTCGTGGCGTAAGGGGAGGTCCCCGTAGGATCCTGCAGTGGTCACTCACTCTTGCTTCCCTCGGGCAGGTAGGTCTCTGGAAGAGCCAGTCGGACATCCCGGAAGCAGCAGCGCACAAGCTGCAGCGGGCACAGGGTGCGCTGGCAGAGGCAGAAGCGCGCGCCCGGCGGCTGCAGCGGGGACAGGTGGAGGTGCGGCTGCGCACCGAGGAGGCCCGGCAGGCGGTGCGGCGCAGCTTGCACCGAGTGCGGGAACTGGAGGCACTGGCGCGGCGCGTTCCTCGCTTGCAGCGCCAGGTGCAGCGACTGGAGGCGGAGCTTAGACGTTACAGGTGAGAGCTGGAACTGACACAGACCAGATGGGGCGGGTCCTATTCTCTAAACCTGAGCGTGCTACACCGCCGCGCGTGCTCTACTGTTCATTCCTACCTTCAGGTGTTTATGCATGGTTCTTCCATTTCTTAAGTCATTGTGGAGTCCATTACCACTCATTGGTCCATCCCTGTATCCATCCATCTGCTCACCCTCCCGTTCATCCACGAAATCCTTTTGTTACTTGTGGATTGTAATCAGCGAGACTCATTCTTAGCTCTTCAGTTTGATCCTGGTTGTCACCGACTGCACACTGCACACTTTATGCGCTTGCTTCAGTTAATCCTTAGGATAGCCAACTGAAGAGGGTCCCGTTATGACCCCAGTCTTCAGATGAGGAAACAGGTTTAGAGCGACCTTTTGTTCTAGCTGGACCAGGGCAGGAAGCTAGACTCGGGCCGAGGCACTGAGTCTGGCAAGGCTGCTGACAGATGTGTCACTCTGGCAAGTCACCAGCTTTCCTCCAGTCTGTTGCTCTTGGGTGGAGCAGGCTGGAGTCTTTGCAGAGTAGGACGGCTGTGAGACTCTGCCTGATGGTGCTGGGTGCTCATTTTTTTCTCGTGGCAAAGTGGGTCTGCCTTTCTGACCTGCACAGCAGCTGAGACCTTCCCTGGGCAACTCTCTACCTGGTGAGGGGAGCATGAGACCTCCACGGGAACAGATGTGAGGCAGCAGATAGGACAAAGAACGGTGCGTTCCTTATACAGGCTTAGCCGCTCCTCTGCCCCAGAAGTGGGAGCTGAAAGCTGAGAAAATGGGGACAATAGGGGAAAAAAACTCGAGGATACCATAGCACATTCCAGAAACTAAACAGAAGTCAACATAACTGGAGAAGTACAGCTGGGAGAAGCCAGGAAAAGCCAGGCTTCTGAAGCCTGAAGGTAGCATAACCTTTATCTTCTCCTTAGAGCACATGAAACCATGGAAGCATTTCAAGTCAGGATGGCCCGAGCAGATTGTATTGTCAGAAAGAAAACAAACAAACAAAAATTATCCCGCTTCAATTGTGACAGGGCTGAGAGGAGGGACAAAGAACAGAAGACAGCCTGGAGGAGCCAGTGAGGACAGTTCTCCCTGGAGAGGGTGATCTGAGCCAGGTCGGGGGAGGACAGCTCAAGTGGTGACGTTGAACTTATGTCCTCAAAGGAGGGACCTCACCCTTGACTTCTGAGGCACTCGCAGTTGGGAGAGACTGACCCTGGCCAGCCTCTTGCAGCTCCAAATGTTTGGATAGTTGCTTCCTGTTTGCATAGCTGATGGGCTACAGATCAGAGCTGGTTGACATGCGGTCCCTGTTTATGAGGAGAAACAAATGGTCTCCTCCGTTTTGTCTTAAAGTCACCATACTCATTTATGCATTAACACAACTGTAACATGAGGAGAGAGCTTTACAGTAAAGAGGGAAGATTCCTACCCATCCCAGCACTGGCTTCTCAAAACTGCTGTACGTGGTGGAGGTCTCAATCCTCATTTTATAAACTGCAGGAAGGAATGCGAGGCTGTGAGCAGTTAACCGTACGTGAGGTTATGCCGCCAGAGAGTAGGAAAGTAAGGACTGCCTGCCCCGCAGCCAGTGTCCTCCTTTCTGCTCGACATGTTTGCTGTTGCCACTGTTTCCTTGATCACCAGGTGGCTACAGTGCCTACAGGTCTTGCATTTACCATTCAGGCACAAGGACAGACAATGCTGGAAGGAGATGCTCTCCCAGGGAACCTGTCATTCTCCTTCAGAGCTTGAACCTGGATCTCACGGGCCAGAACTGTGTCACTTTCTGCTGCCACCCACAGTGGTGTCTGATGGCACTGGTGAGCCCCAAATACCACCCGAGTTCCAATCTTAAAGAAGCAGAAATAGCCACTGTAGAAGCCTCGGCTGAAACACCAAGTGTCTAGAGGAACAAAGCCAGAAAGAACAGGAGAGGCCTGGCAACCTGGAGTCTGGAAGGAGAAAACCCAGAACCAGGGGGTGAAGGTCACAGGACCACTAGGTGAATGAGTGGATCCAGAGGCAGAAACTCTCTGCTCATCTTCTGTAGCCAAAGCTAGCAGGCTGTGGACTGGCTTATGCCAAAGCTTTCAGTCTTCGAAGAAAGGGAAGAGAAAGAGGCAGAATCGCCACAGACACCAAGCATTGCCCGATGCCAGGAGCCTCTCCCACGTCAGTGCATGGGAGCTCAAATCCAACCTGAAGATCATTCTTACTGTGTCGCAGACAAGAAGGCCAGGCCAGTGGAGCACGTGTTGCACGGTTCTCTTGGGTTTCCTCACTACGCTCACCCCCACCACCACCACCAAACATCCACAGGTTGTTTCACAAGCTGGGAGGGTGTGGTAAGGTTCATTTTGGATCGTGGTTTCAGATGTTTCTGTTATAGTCCTTGTGCCGACTGACTCAGGGTGACAACAGCATATGGTAAAAGTGTCTCACCTCATGATCACCAAGAAGCAGAGAGAAAGGAGTATAAAGGAACCAGGGTCAGCTGCAGCTTACAGGGGCGCTCCAGTGCCGATTCCTCGAGTCTGGTTCCACCATATTCCTTTCGCCACCTCTCAATAATGCCCCATATTATAAATCCATCAAGAAGTTGAGTACAGTGATTATGTCAGAGCTCTCAAGATCCCATCATCTCCCCAAAGTCTATCATCTAGCAACCCAGACCCCAACATATGAACCTGTCTGTCTTATTCAAACCACAGTAGAAAGACTGTGAGCTACACATCCCCTCCACTGCTGCAGTGTCAGGCATTCAGATGTCCCTGAGGGTTAAGCCGCGGCCAGCAGGGGCAAATGGGAGGCAGGGGCCACACTCCAAGCATAAGCCCTCCCTGCTTTCCTAGGTGACACCAAGCTAACATGTTCCAAATGTTCTTGGGGAAGCATAAAGCCATTTGGAATAACCTGACTTTCTGCACTAGTTTTCAAAGAACCTTCCACTCTGATGCTAGTTAAGGATGCCCTAGAGTTGTAAGCTTGTCCACTCAGGGTCTGGTGGATCTATTAAAAATCACAGATCAAGAACTCAGCTGAGCCAGGGCTCAGATTGTTCCCAGGTGTAATAAAAACTCTGCCACTTCTCTTCAATAACAGCCCGATTCCCTATCTCTACTACTTCCATTTAGTTCTTTTTCAAATCCAGCTTCCTTTTTCTATCCTTTTCTGTCCTGTGTTGTTGTAGGTTCCATTCAATCATCTCTAATTTTTAGACAGTCTTTTGTTAAACAAGGCCTCTATGTGCCTATTCAATCAGTGGAGGACCAATAGTAGCCAGAAAAGGCTGTGTCTATGCCTAACAGTTCTGTGGGATCACTGTTTCTGTGCAACATAGTGTTACAGTCATGCATATACAGGATTAACATCATGCTAAGTGTTAAAAGCTCTGGAGAGATCATTTAAAAGTATGTGATGTGCAAAGGTTGTACAAATACAATGCCAACCTATGCAAAGGTTGAACAGCCACGGATTTGGGTGTCCATGGAGGTCCAGGAGCCATTTTTCTGAAGACTCTGAGACAACCATGCTTACTCTTTGAATTGCTGTAGTGTCTGAGTTCCCACAAGTGTTTTCACGCCTGCTGTCTCTGTTGTGATAGTGTGTTCCTGGAATGCTGTGAAATTTTTGCTGTAGTCTATGGCAAGCTGCAGCGCTCGACAGTTCCAGGTAGAAACAGGGTCTTCCCTGTCTTCACCATAGCCTGGAGAACCAAGATGGAATCCTAACCACTTCCAATTTGTTTTGAGTTTCTTTTTATTCTTGGGAGAGATTAAGCTCCTACCTAGGGATTAAATCCGCAGGCCTGGGAGTGAAATTTTTATCATCTTTCATCATTTGAACTCTGTGGGAGCCTCTTGCTGACTCGGCAAACTGTCTTTTGTATCCTACCCTTGTGGGCATTTTACTAGCACTATCTCTTGCTCCTCAATTGAACTAGAGGCCTCTTCTTGCTCCTGACTTTCCTTTGTTCTTTTCCATGTTAAATTTTACCCATGATATCTGTTTGTTTGTAGATGGAAGAGAACTTTCCAAAATGCTTCAGGCTACCACCTTGCCCACCAACTTAAAAAAATACAGCAAATACTTATACAATTCATTTATTTGTTAGACCATGCTTTATAAGCATGCTCCATGGACTAAGACCTGTGTTGTCTTAGTTAGGGTTTTATTGCTGTGAAGAGACACCATGACAATAGCAACTCTTTTCTTAATTTCTTTTTTTTTATTTTAGAAACAATCTTATTTTACATATCAATCCCAGTTCCCTCTCCCTCCCACCCTCCCATGCCCCCACCAACCCTCCAACCCACTCCCCATTCACTCCTCAAAGATAGTGAGGCCTTCCACGGGGGATCATCAAAGTCCATCACATCCTTTGGGGGAGGGCCTAGGACCTCTTTCATGTATCTGGGCTGCAACAGTAACCCTCCATAGGGAGACCATAGTAACTCTCATAAAGGAAAACACTTAATTGGGGCCGGCTCACAGTTCAGAGGTTTAGTCCATTATCGTCATGATAGGAAGCATGGTGGCACACAGGCACAGTGCTGGAGAGGCAGATGAGAGTTCTACATGATTGGCAAGAAGCAGGAAGAGAGAGTGACACTGGGCCTGGCTTGAGCATCTGAAACCTCAAAGCCCACTATCAGTGACACACCTACGCCAACAAGGCCACACCTCCTAACTATGCCACCCCCTATCGGTCTATGAGGGCCATTTTCATTCAAACCATCATATGTACCTCAAGGACACAGAAATGGAACATATACTCACCATATCCAGTTAGTCTCCTGGCCCCAAGAAGTAGGTCCTAGTCACACATATTATAACATAAGTGTCATGTGCAGAGGACCACAAAGCTGCCACTGGTGCCTTCAGACTTGCAAGATTCCCAAGTCAGACAGAAGTCCCATCTCTCCTTGGGGTGTAGAAGTACCCAGGCACACACTTGGCCGAGTTCCCACCTGCT